GCAGAAAGGGGATGTTGTGCGGATGGGAGATGATAACCCGTGTGACATTGTGGGGATTGGATCAGTTCAGATAAAGACTGATGATGGCATGACACGCACGCTGAAAAAAGTTAGGTATATACCAGGGATGTACAGAAATCTTATCTCATTAAGCACGCTTGATGCAGAAGGTTACAAATATTCCGATTCAGATGGCGTTCTGAAGGTATCAAAAGGTTCTCTTGTTTGCTTGAAAGGTGATCTTAATTCTGCAAAGTTATATGTCCTTAGAGGGTGTACTTTACCTGGTTCTGATTCCGCTGTTGCTGCTGTTACTAATGATGAACCTAGTAAAACTAACCTTTGGCATATGCGTTTGGGACATATGAGTCACCATGGTATGGCGTAATTGATGAAGAGAAACTCATTTGGATGGTCGCACTTCGAGTAAAATAAAGTTTTGTGAGCATTGTATTTTCGGGAAGCATAAAAGGGTACATTTCAACACTTCTGTTTACACCACTAAAGGTACTCTTGATTATGTTCATGCTGATTTATGGGGCCCTTCCCGTAAGTCCTCACTTGGTGGTGCTCGTTACATGCTTACAATTATTGATGATTACTCTAGAAGGGTTTGGCCTTATTTTCTGAAACAGAAAGATTATACTTTTGCTGCTTTTAAGGACTGGAAAGTAATGATAGAAAGGCAAACTGAAAGGAAGGTAAAATTGCTTCGTACTGATAATGGTGGAGAATTTTGTTCGCGTGAATTTAATGATTATTGCAAATCGGAAGGCATTGTTAGGCATCACACCATACCCCATACTCCACAACAGAATGGTGTGGCGAACGCATGAAACAAACCATCATGTCCAAGGCCCGTTGCATCTTTGTCTAATGCCGGGATGAGCAAGCATTTTTGGGCTGAAAGTCGCTAATACTTTACTCGTTACTTGATTAACGGGTCACCTTCTATTCCACTAAATAAAAGAACTCCCATTGAGGTATGGTCTGGTACGCCTGCTGATTATTCACAGTTGAAAGTTTTTGGATGCACTGCTTATGCTCATGTTGATAATGGAAAATTAGAGCCTAGAGCATTAAGTGTCTTTTCCTTGGTTATAGTTCGGGAGTCAAAGGCTATAAATTGTGGAATCTCAAACAGGAAAGACTTTTATGAGCGAGGAGTGTTGTTTTCAATGAATCTGTGATGTTTACTTGACGGTTTGCCCTCGGATCATGTTCGAGAAAAAGAAGCTGCAGCGTATGCGCATGCAGTGGAGCATGTTGATGATGATACAGTGTGTGCGAGTGGAGCTCATTGATGAGCATGGTGACCATGATAATGATGTTGCCGAGGATGATGCTCATGATGATGTTCAAAAACTCCTCCTATTTTGCGCTTAGAGGAGGATTTACCTATTGCTCAACGCAAGTCAAAAGGACAATTGCACCTCCTAAGCGTCTTATTGAAGAGTGTAATTTGTCTTATTATGCTTTGAGTTGTCTTTGAACAGTGGAGAATGTTCATGAGCCAAAGAACCTATAAAGAAGCTATTCGTTGTGGTGATCTTGAGAATTGGATTTCTGCTATGCATGAGGAGATGCGCCTCTTGAGAAGAATAAAGACATGGGAGATTGTACCTTTGCCTAAGAATAAGAAGACCATCAAATTTGCAAATGGATCTTCAAGAGAAAGGAGGGTTTATCTCCAAGCGAGCCTCCAAAGTATAAGGCAAGGTTAGTTGCTAAAGGCTACAGTCAAATTCCGGGTGTTGACTACAATGATGTGTTCTCTCCAGTGGTAAAACACAGTTCAATTCGTACTTTCCTTAGTATTGTTGCTTCACATGATCTTGAGCTTGAGCAATTAGATGTGAAGACTGCGTTTTTGCATGGAGAGCTTTAGGAGGACATATACATGGACCAACCAGAAGGGTTCATAGTGCACAGCAAGGAAAAATATGTGTGCAAGTTGAAGAGATCCTTGTATGGTTTGAAACAGTCCCTCGTCAAGGGAACAAGAGGTTTGATTCATTTATGTTAGCACACGCTTTTAAAAGATCTAAGTATGATAGTCGTGTGTTTACATCAAGCATGTTAATGGATCACCTATATATTTGCTGTTATATGTTGATGATATGCTGATTGCTGCCAAAAGTAAGATTGAAATCACTAAGTTAAAGAAGCTATTGAGTAGTGGTTTTGATATGAAAGATCTTGGTAGTGCTAAGAAAATTCTTGGTATGGAAATTAGTAGAGACAGAAAATCTGGTTTGCTATTTCTTAGTCAACAAAATTATATCAAGAAAGTTCTTCAGCGTTTCAACATGCAAAATGCTAAGGCTGTTAGTACCCCTATTGCACCTCACTTTAAGTTGTCAGCTGCTCAGTGTCCTAGTACAGATGCAGAGATTGAATACATGTCAAGGGTTCCTTATTCTAGTGCTGTTGGGTCTTTGATGTATGCCATGGTTTGCTCTTGTCCAGATTTGTCATATGCTATGAGTCTTGTTAGTAGATATATGTCTAATCCTGGCAAAGAACATTGGAGGGCAGTTCAGTGGATTTTCAGGTACCTCAGAGGCACAGCAGATTCCTGTTTAAAGTTTGGAAGAATTGATAAGGCTCTTATTGGCTATGTGGATTCTGATTATGCTGCTGATCTGGACAGGCGAAGATCACTTACAGGTTATGTGTTTACTGTTGGCAGTTGTGCTGTGAGTTGGAGGGCTACTTTACAGTCAGTTGTTGCTTTGTCTACTACTGAAGCAGAATATATGGCTATTTGTGAAGCGTGCAAAGAATTAATTTGGTTGAAAGGTTTGTACGCTGAGCTTTGTGGAATTGAATCTTGCATAAGTTTGCACTGTGACAGTCAAAGTGCAATTTACCTCACTAAAAATCAGATGTTCCATGAGAGAACTAAGCACATAGATATTAAGTATCATTTTGTGCGTGATGTGATTGAAGAAGGTAAGCTGAAGGTATGCAAGATTAGTACTCATGATAATCCTGCTGATATGATGACAAAGCCTGTTCCTGTTCCTAAGTTTGAGCTATGCTCAAGCTTAGTTGGTTTAATTGGATAGTCCAAGAGACTATTGTTGGCACCAGTGGTTTTCTATCTTTGTTATGTTCAGGATGAAGGGTTGATTTATGATACAAGATGAATTTGTCTCAAGGTGAAGTTTGTTGGAGTTGTTCCAAATTCACTCCAGGATATAGGCCGGGCTTCTGACGGAGCGGAGCGGAGGCCCGTCGCCGGAGGCTTGGGCCGGAGCGTAGCGGAGTCTAAAACCGGCCCATCAGGTCTCGCCCTTGCTTGGGCCGGAGCGTAGCGGTACGGTACGGTATATACACCCTTGCTAGGGTTTCGTGGAGACTTGATTCTCTTGTAAGCCGCCATAGGCGTGTAACCCAAAACTCTTGAGATAGTGAGATTGTTGCTGGCTAGTGCCCGTGGTTTTTCCCCTTCACATCGGAGGGGTTTTCCACGTTAAATCGTGTGTCTCCTCTGTGGCTTGATTCTTTACTTCATATTCCTATACGTCGTTCATAACAAACCCTGCAGCGTCCTAGTTGAAGATGCCGTCGAGGAGTGGAGCGGAGGGACCTCTTCCCCGCCCAGTGAACAGCAAGCAAATGCTCCGGTAGCGACGGCCATGGACGCCAAGCTGATGTTGGCCACAGGCGATGTCCAGCAGCTGAAGGATCTGGTGAACAAGCAAGAACAAGATTCCAAGATGATGGTGGTCGTGATGGCCAAGCAGCAGACTGCTGCTTCCGCAGAGAATCCTCATCCTCGCCTGCTAGCATTGGCCTCCTCCGGCTCTTCTGCGGAACTGCAAACCCTTCTCAACGGGGAACACAGTGTCAAGGCTCTCGCAACGGCGGCACCAACGGGAGCTTGCCTACCAGCCGAGCTACTAGCTCTTATGGTGAAGACACAGAAGCAAAAGAGTCGATCCTGGCAGGGAAGACTGCTGAAGGTGACACTGCACTCCATATGGTGGCCGCCTGTGGTCAGGGCGACAACTTCTGTACCAAGTCCAGAGAAGCCAAGCCTCTCCTTCAACAAAACGACAAATGGCGGTGGTGGCTCCGGTGCTGGTGCCTAACCAGTGGCCAACGCCATGCATGATTGACCACCCACGGGTATGGCGACGGTGATAATTTCTTGGAGAGCGCTCGCATCATCTACGGGAAAGCGAACCACTTCCTCTTTGAGGAGAACAACGAGGGCAACACCCCTCTGCACTGCGCTGCACGAGCGGGGAAGTCCAACATGGTCAAATGCCTCGTTGATCTCGCGCTCGCTGAAGGAGGCGAGTGTAGGATGAAGGAACTGCTGCGGAAAGAAAACAAGCCCTGCATGAGGCGGTCCGCGTTGGGAACAAGGACATACTCGTCGACCTGCTCATCGGGAAGGACTCGGAATTGGCCAGCTTTCCTCAAGACGCCGGCGCATCACCTATTATGTACCTACTAGCCATCCTGCAAAAACGGGATGAAATTGTGAAAACACTATATGATAAGAGCAGTGATGGAAAGCTTTCCTTCTCTGGACCAAATGGACAGAACGCATTGCATGCTGCTGTTGTCCAACGCCAAGGTAGGTACACTGCATGCATGCATCTTTCGTTTTTTTTTTCTTCTTTTTTCCAACTTAATTACAAACTGGGTAGGTTCACGGAGACTTGTATTTTATTCGCATGCATGGCCGATTGGTTTTTCTGATCATCTTGATTAGCTAGTCTGATAAAAGGAAGAATGGTGTTTGCAGGTCGTACCAAGTTGCTAGAATGGAACGAAGCACACCTCTGCCCGCTAAATAAGGACCTTACCACACAAATAAGGGATGAAAATGGGAGTACGCCTCTTCACTTGGCCGCAGCTATAAATAGTGTCTCAAGTTGGGCCATCAAGCATTTGTGGGCAATTATTGGAAGCTAATCCAGATGCCCTGTATCAACCAGACCATGCCGAATTTTTCCCCATTCACGTTGCTGCCTCTGTAGGTGCTTTCAGGAACGTTGACATGTTTATTAAAAAATGTCCTGGTAGCGCCGGTCTGCGTGATGCTAAGGGAAGGACATTTCTTCATGTTGCTGTTGACAAAAAGAGTGTGAGCATAATCAGTGGTGCCTGCAGAAATCTATCACTATCATGGATTATGAATATGGTAGACAATGATGGAAATACTGCACTTCACCTTGCTGTCAAGGCTGAGAGTATTCACATGTTTTCTCGTCTATTGGAGAACCCACAAGTAAACTTGAATTTACCGAACAATAGATGGGAGACTCCATTGGATACAGCCCAATATAAGCTTATGCCCAAAGGAGCATTTTTTTTTTGAAAGAAACTGGAGGGGTTTGCACCCCTACAGCATTTATTGATAAAGAACAAGAACAGTACAAATACAAAGCAGCAAAGAGTACAAGGAGAAGGAGGAGGAGGAGGGGGGGGGGGCGCAATTAAGATACAAAAAAGGAAAGTAAGAAAAGCAGTATAAGCACTGCAAGCAACCAAGCTAGTCGAGATTTGCAATCCATTGATCGAGGCCTGGGGAGTAGCTTCTTTTCGCCCTTAGCAGCAATAGCTGGAGCTCAACTTTGAAATTCTGCAAAGCTAAGAGAATACTTAGGTTTACTTGCCAAAAAATTAAATCATTTCTTGATCTCCAGATGGTCCACGCCATTAAGATAATAACTTCCATGAAGAAAGGCACTCTTAACTGATCTCTGAAACTTTGTAAGTTCTGAAAGGGGTCAGAATGCTGATTTGTCTGAATCTTAATCAAGCCCCAACACTGGGTGGCAAAAGGACATTCCAGAAAAAGATGTGATAGTGATTCCTTCACAGCAGCATTACAGAGCACACAATTGAAATCCTGCAAAGCCATGTTTTTCCTTCTCAACAGTTCTCTTGTGCTTATCCTGTCTTTCAGCAGAAGCCAAAAGAAGACCTTATGCTTGCTTTGGCATGAGCAAGCCCACAGCCATTTGAAGGCTGGATGAACAACTTGGTGTCCACTCTAGTGTCTGTAAGTCTTTTTAATTGAGAATTTATTGGAGTTCCAAATGTAAACCCATTTATCTGAATCCCCATTTGTGTTGGTTTCGTTCAACAATTCCTGGAGCATCAACATTTGGGCGTGTGCCTGCTGTGAGAGTGGCAGATGAAAGAGACTGTGCAGAGGTGTTTGAGCACACCCATCAGCAAACACAATTTGCTTGTTTTTTTTGCAAAAGAGAACAATTCTGGAAACTTCTGGCTCAGAATCTCATTGCCCCACAGGTCTTCCCAAAGAAAACAAGATGATCCATTTCCAATTTCCACTCTTGCCATTCCTTTGAACTTGTTTAGCAGCTTAACTATATCCCTCCACCAGAAGGATCCCTTCTTAGAGCTTCCAGGCAACTTCCCTGATCCATAGTACTTTTCCCAAACTAATGACACCCAGGGTATATCTTCCTTGTTGAAAAATTTGTGTAAATGTTTGATCAATAGAGCTTCATTTTGGGTTTTGATGTTGAGAACTCCTAGCCCTCCCTCCTCCTTCTCTCTACAGACAGTTGCCCAGGCTGCTTTGGGTTTCTGCCTTGCATTTAAATCGGCACCCCTCCATAAACATAATTTCATGAACTTATCTATCTGGTCAATCACAGTTTGTTGGAGTAAGAATGTGCTCATACAAAATGTTAGCGTTGCAGTGAGGACAGAGTTTGTGACCTCAACCCTTCCTGCCTGATTTAGAAATACTGATGTTGCAGCCAACCTTCTCTCACATCTAGTAACCAATGGTGAAAAATCAATGGCTCTAGGCTTGGTGAGGCTTAGAGGTAATCCCAAATAGGTGAAAGGTAAGCTTCCAGTTTCACAGTTGAAAGTTCTTGCTAAATGTTGTAGCTTCTCTTGGTTTGTGTTAATGGGCACATGATTGATTTGTTGTAATTCACCTTTAATCCAGTTGATTCGACAAAGGTATGCAGAAGGGCCCTCAAGGTTACTAACTGCTTGCTGCATGCCTCCATGATCAAAAGAGTATCATCTGCATATTGAATGATTGGAAAATCATCTGTGTACCCTAATGGAATTGGTGGATTCAGGAGGCCTTGGCTTTTTGCCTTGTTAATCACATATTGTAATAGATCAGCAGCCAGGACAAACAACAAGGAGGAAAGAGGGTCACCCTGTTTAACTCCTCTTCTGCAATGAAAGACTTTGCCTGGTACCCCATTGAGGAGGACAGAAGAAGTACCAGAGTTGAGATTAGCATTTACCCAACTAATCCATCTCTGACCAAACCCTTTAACTCTCATTACTTGTGGCAATTATGTATAAACTCCAGAGCCCAGGCCAAACAATCCTGGATGGTTCTAGTTTTGATAAATACATACTGATTTTGGTGAACTAGCCCCTTAACTAGCTTCTAAAGCCTATTAGCCAGCAACTTTATGATGAACTTTATGGATGAGTTGAGGAGAGAGATTGGTCTGTAATCTGAAATATTCTATGGACCATCTTTCTTTGGGATTAGGACAATGTGAGAATTATTAATACTTCTCAAGCAGACCTCCCCTCTGTGGAAATTTTCACACAACAGCATGAAGTCAGCAGCTAAGAGTGGCCAATAGCCCTTAATGAATTCAGTACTAAAATCATCTGGGCCTGGAGATTTATTGTTTGGCAAACTGATGACTACCCTCTCAACTTCCTCTTTAGTGAAGGATAGCTCCAACTATTCTAGGCCACCCACAGGTTGGATAAGGTGGTTTAGGTCAAAGAGCATCTGATTGTATTCTGTTATGTCCATCCTTCCTTTAAAAGAGTTCCATAAAAGTTCAGCTCTTTGTTCATGCCCACAAAGGGTGTTCCCCAATCCATCCTGCAGAGAAGTGATCTTGTTGTTTCTGTGTTTAATTGTTGCATGAGCATGAAAATTTTTTGTAGCAGCATTTCCTTCTTTTACCCATCTGACTTTCCCTCTTTGCCTCCAGTAAGTTCTCTGTTGTTTCAACAGGAAGATTAGCTTTTCAGAAACCATGTTCCTAAAGTTCCATTCTAGCAATGATAGGTCCCTGAATAGTTCAATGGTTTCCAAGAAATACATCACTAATTTGATTTTCTCAATTGCAAGGGCCAGTTTTGGTAAGGTTGATTTCCATTCCTTCAGCTCCCTCCTTAAGTTCTTGAATTTGGCAGTCATCATCTTGGCATGGTCTGTGATGTGTTCAGGGCCTTTCCATCCATTAACAGCAACAGAGATAAACTCATCATGACTGAGCCAGTGATTTTCAAATCTGAAAATTTGAGCTTGGGGAATTGAGGTGCCAATCTCAACTACACAAGGCCAGTGATCAGATGTTTCCATGACCAGGGTTTTGACCAAAGTGTCAGGGGACTTTGAGGTCCAGGAGTTAGAGGTAAAAAAACTAGTCTAACCTCTCCAACAGTGGTGGAAACTGCTTATTTGTCCAAGTGAACTGTCTTCCATGAAGGGGTAACTCAATCAAGTCCAGCTTATTAATGGCTTCATTGAACAAAAAAAATTCATTTATATTTGCACCTTCCCTGTTCCTATCCATAGGTTTTCTTAGAAGGTTAAAGTCACCCACAATGAGCCAATCAACATCTTCAGGCATTTCAATTTCTCTGAACCAATCTAAAAATTCCCTTTTACCATGAGGTGTACAAGGGGAATAGACAGTTGTTAAGAGCCAAGTCTCATTGTTGAGTTTTGAAGTAAACTTCACTGACGAGGCAAACCTATTACTGAAAATAAGGTTTCCCTAGAAAGCAGTGCTCTTCCAGGCCACTAAAATTCCACCAGATGCACCTACTGAGGGAAGAAATTCAAAGGAGTCAAAATCCATAGGACAGATTTTCTTGATGAAGTCTGAGTCAAAACTGTCCTTTTTGGTTTCCTGTAAGCAGATGATCTCACTCTTGCTTTCAACCACTTTGCTCTGATGGAGTTCCATTTTCTGTCAGAGTTCAACCCTCTGACATTCTAGTTTTGCATTTTCCAAACTCTGTTGTGTGCCATAAAAACAAAGGAAGAAACAGACTAAGCAACTGGTAGGAGTACAATCCTACCAGGGAAACACCACCACACCCAGGAAAAAGATATCCAAGGTAACAGAAAGACACGATAATAGCCAATTCAATGCTGAAAGCACACAAGTTCAGATATAGCCAGTGCCAACGCAGGGCCCCAAACAAGGACAAAAGATTTAACAGATTACTGCTAAGGAAAGAAAACAACTTAAAAGCTAAACAGAAAGAGGGAGACCAAGTCTCAATCACCCTGGAGCAATGAGTTGTCATTCTATTCATCATCTTTGTTCTTCTCCTCATCTTGGCCTTCAGGGGTCTTGCCTTTGTCCCCTTTGCTTTTCTTCACTTTCTTTCCTACTGGCTATAGCTTGTTCTTCCCCATGAGAACCTATTCCTCTAGCTGCTCCTCCTGATGCTGGCACAAAGAAGTTCCAATATTCTTCAGTGAGAGTGGTGACAAGATTGGTGGGTCATTGGAACAACCTAGGCAATTCTTGATCCTGCAAGAGCTCACCTTGAAACCATTAGTGTTAGCCCTCACCCTATCGCTTCTTTTGACAACTGATTCCACAATGGGTGTGCCTGCCTTTCCCTTTCTTCCTCTCTTCTTGTTGGCCGAGATCTCCTCACTGTCCTCTTTGGGTAGGGCTTCTACAATCTCTCTGATAGAGGATGGTTTAGAAACAAGCATGCCACAGGGCCCCAGTGGAGGACGGTTTGCAGTCAGAAATAAAGGACACCCCCCTTAGGCCCCCATGTGCAAAAGATGCGGGAAACCAGATTCAAATAGACTTTTGGCCCATTTGTGTTGGGCCGGTGCTTGAAGAAGGGCCTGAAAGAAGCCCACCCATTCCTTTGGGACCATTAAGGCCTCCTTGTCTGCCAATTCACTGATTTGAAAGTTGGCTAGTTTTTTTGGCGCCAACAAGGATAGATCAGTGGGTCTTGGCAAATCCGGGGCATTGAAGAAGAAGGTCCTGACCATACCAATTTGGATATTTTCCTGAACCATCAAACCATCCACTTGCCCCTGCTGATCATTCATTTGCCCCTGCTGAACAACCATTGCTTCCTACTGCCCATCTAAGTTCTCCTGTTGTCCTGCCACATACTCCTGTTGGTTTGCCAAGTCATCAAGGTCCATGAGCTCCTCTTCATGCACCATCACAGGGAAATGCATGGGCATTGGGATATCGGTCTCAACTTCAGCAACAACTTCCGGTTGCTAGGCTTGAGGTGGGGGTGGGAGTTCAATTTGCTGCTTCTCTTCTTGGTCATTTCCTTGTGCTGGATTGATGATCATTTCCAAAGGATCTTCACCCACTGGTGCCTCATTTAGGTCCTGTTCCATAGCTACCGATGCCTGATTCAGATCGATCTGCTGTTGCAGAGCTGGCAACTCCTCAGGCCAAACATCCCAGCCTTGTTGGGGTTCCTGCTGAACCTGAATGTTCTGCTCTTCCTGCTCATTCAGATTTGCCTCCATATTGGGCAGTGGATCTTGGGCAGCAATTGGAGCGAGCACTTGTTGACCCAATCCAAAAAAGTCAAACAATGGAGGACCATCATCCGGGAGCTGCGGTACTTGTTCCTCATCCGGGGGATCAACACCCAGATGCTCATGCTGCAGGATCTCACATTGAACTGTCCAAGACTGGCCATTGTATCCTGGCCCATCAGAGAAGACAAAGAAATGTGGAATGGATTCCAAATCAACCACCCTTGCCCTAACAATCAGCCTAGTAAGGTGATCGGGGTCACTGTCCCAGCTTATTGTTCTGGCAAAAGGTCCGAGAACAGTGTCAATAAACTCGTCCTCCCAATAATCCTCTGGCAGCCCCATCAACATCACCCAACATTCCTGATTAAAGTTAAGCCTCCTCCAGTTATCTGCCGCGGTTATGCCTTACGAGCGAGAAATGACCCCCCCTAAGGATGTGGACTATCAATCACAAAGCGATCCCTATCATATTCATGCTCAAACCGCACAAAAGCTTGGCCTAGGTGACATGGCTGTACATCTTTAATATGAACCCTTCTATGCATAAAGAACTCCCTGACGACCTCATCAATCATTGGGAAGTGCAGCACATTACCAGGCAGCGGAGAGATGGCGACGATGGCCAAGTCTTTGTTTCTTGCTCATGGCCTCCGCCCAGCTACAAACCACACCATCATAGGCCTATTTGGTATGTTCTGGATGTGCATCCCTCTCGGCTTAAAGGGATTGGGATCGGCGCGTTGGTACGCCATGACCGACTGCTCGGGGTGGTCAGGTGAAGTGAGCTGAGGTTGGAGCTGCTACAATGGCGCCTGAGTAGCATTGTCAGACAGGGGATTTCTTGGGTCGCGACTGTTGCAGATGGAGGGCGATTTATTAGAGGAAGACGGAGCGGCATCAGGCCTTATTAATACCCCACCGAGGCATAGTTCAGTCGCTGGGCTGTGGGTCTCCGGAGCCATAGGCCCACTGACGGTGTCCACTGCACTGTGATTGGTTCTAGCTGCGGCAACGCCTGAGAGGTGGGCGCTTGAAATCTAGCCCAGGCCCCAAAAGAGTCAAAGACTGGCGGGCTGTGATGTGGCCCAGTCCCCAAATCAGTTTCCAACGCAACGGGCTCTGGTTGCTCAACAATTTGCCTTTCATTTAAATCGACCCTGGCCACCTTCTCGTATCTGCTCGGCCCTTTTCCATTTCCTCCTCAATGACTGCTGCCCGGGCAATTAAACGCGATGTGTCCCCTAGGTAGGCAAGCAAAGCATCTTATGGGAGATTTGCACGCCTCCCTAACGTGTCCCGCGGTCAGACAGCGCGGGCAAATTCTGGACGTCAGAGCTGCTGAAGGATTGCCTGCAGCGGAGCATTGACCCAAGGCTGCTCCAGGCTCCAAATTCAAATAGGAGCCGATAGGCTTTGGCCTAGCCTGATGAACTTGCCCAATAGGATTCTTTCCTTTGTCAGAAGCAGGCCCTTTGTTAGCAGGGAAAAGCAAACGATCGAAAACACTAATTCGAGGCTGATGAGAAGCAATGGGAACTTTGTTGGCTCCAGTGAGCGGAGTGCTTTTCATGGCATCAGCAAAGGTGGTTGAAGGTCTGATCAGATTTCCGTTTGCGGTCACTGCACTTTTCTGGACAGCAGTCCACGAGGCTTCTTCCTCGGCACAGAAACTTCTCCACTCCCGAATCCAGTTCGGGCCGCCATTGCTCCAGAGGTGGAAAAAGACTTTGAAAGACGAACACTCAAAAGAACGTAAATTGGCAACATGAAAACCAACAGATTTTGAGGAAACCGAGAACCGAAACACCCTATCAGAAAGCTGAAGAACCGCAAAATCCAAGGCAACACCCCCGATCGTAGCCTGAAGAATGGCTCCAACCGAAGAAGGGGAGAGCTTGTACTTACAGCGGCCAAAAGAAGCGACCAAGAAGAATGCTCGGCCCCATATCGTCGGGGACACCGAGCAGCCGAACTTGCTCTTGATCACCTTTTGGACACCGACACTAGGACGAGGGTTTATGCCCTAGAGCTCCATGACCAGCAGCGGAAGCCCCGACGATGGCAGCAGCGGCCTGAGTCGGAGCCAGGAACCTCACGAAGCGAAGGAGCAACTAAAGGCGGGGCATCGATGGTGTCCACCCATGGTGGCTGGGTTGCCAGAGAGGGGAGGAGAGCCGGCCAGGGCCAGCGGCGCCGTAGGCGACACCAATAGCGGCTAGGAGGAGGTGCGCACCGCCGAGTCTGTATGATGAATGTTACCCTCCGTTTCTCTGATCTTTCTCTTTTCTTTTACTGCAATTGATTCCCCAAAGGAGCATTATACGATTTTCATGTAATCCATCCGCTCATTTTATTTATTTTTAGTTTTATTCAGAAGCATGGGCAATGGAACAACTGAGATTTGCGCTGCTCATCTTCTTTTTGTTTAGCTTTTGCAGCTGCAGAGTATTGAAGCACAAATAGACTTCGCACTCAAATATGCCGGTGCTGTCATGGGTGTGTGCCGCCAGGATCACTTCAAACATAGCATAACTCTGAGAGTAAACCCATTTCATGAAAGTAAAGAAACGGAGATGCTGAAGGAGTCGACTGGAGCTCTGTGTATTGGCTCTGTTCTAATAGCAATTGTGACATTCGGAGCAACTTTTGCTGTGCCTGGAGCTTACATAGCTGATGATCACAGTAATGGAGGCTCACCAATACTTGCTCGAAGGCATGCTTTTGATGCATTCATCTGGTCCAACACATTCGCCTTCGTTTGTTCCACGGTTGCAACCATTGCTCTCATGCGGCCTGGAAACCCTTTATTGAACCTTCGGAGCCGAAGAACGAACTTAGGCATCGCCTCCTACTTCGTATCCATTTCAATTACATGCTTGGCTGCAGCCTTTGCACTTGCTGCGTATGTGGTGCTAGCTCCGGTGGCTCAGAACACTGCACATGGCATAGCTATCCTCACTTGTCTCGTACTGCTATATAATCAACTGGAGTTCATTTCTACACGTCTTCTTCTACTACCACCCTTATGTACGAGGAAGGGGCTAATCCAGGCATGCCTATTTTCAGCACTTACTATCATGGGTGCTATGCTATTACAGTATTGGCCCTTAATATTCATCTTTCAGTTAGCAAACCTGTCTCCAAAAATAGAAGCACCAGCATCGGCACCAGTACCAGCACCATTGGCATCAACTTGAAGCTAGCAGGCGTCAACAAATATATATGTGGTCACAGCAGACATGGCATGAATCAGTATCATTCATGTCATCTTATGGATTTGGAGTGAAATGAATTAAGGTGCTGTCAGCCTGCTTCCTGTACCTGAATAATCAATGTGTCCCATCTATCTGCATTATGATTCTGTAGACACTTTATTGAATCGGGAGAATCGGATGTTTTCCATTGTGTTTACTAATTTTTTCTTTGTTTGTTACTAGTTGGGAGCTATTATGCTCGTTAATAATGTAAACAGTGATTACTGCACTTGCAGAAACAGATGTCTTTTGCATATTCGGATGATATTTGTGATTCATGGAAAGTCTGAATGAGGAAGGCATTTGAATTTGTAATTTAGATAGCCATGCCGAGCCATTGTGCTCCTCACGCCATGGCTGGCTGACCTCTTGCTGCTGCTTGCTGGGTGGTATTAAAAAAAGAATCCAAGCTTTAGCTGCCGATGTGGAATAGTTGGCCGATCCCAAGCTTTGAGGCTTTCTGTACATACACTCAACAAAGGTAAGGAAAGGTTCCAAGAAGGGAATGCAATGTCCTGTGGTGCAGCCAAATCATGTTTTGATAGGAAGAGAAGCCCCGTCCCCGTCTCCTCGCGCCGCCCCCATGGCGAGCAAGCCCAGATTCGCCGCCATAGACCGCTCCCCCACTTCACGAACCGCCGCAGCGCGTTCCCCACCCTGCGGCCCACCCCCGCGCCCAAGTTTCCCAGTCAACAGAGCTCCACAGCCACAGATCGAACCCGCCCTGCACTACGGAAGCCTGGAGGCCTGTGCTTCGCCTCCCCACCGGCCCGCCCTCAGCTCCATCGTCGTGGGGCCGCAGCTCCTCCTTGGTAAGGCCTCTGAGCCCTGCGCGGCGGACCAGGCGTGCATCTTTCCACGGAAGCGCGTGAGTTTCGCCTCTCCCATCGATGGCTCCCATGTGAGGAGTTACTCCACCAACGGCAAATCTTCCGCAAGATCCTGCATCAAAGTCGAAGCAAGGGGCGCCAGCCGTGGGGCATTCACTTCCCCTCCGCTCGGCCACTGCACCCCGGATTGATGTCGTGGTTCCTTCCCGAGGTGGGTCGCACAAAGTTGATGCCGGGGAGCGCCTGCAGGCGGCTTGGGCGCATTCAAGCGCGCCAGTGGCCTCCCCGTCTATGACTGGGGAAGCCGGTTGGTCCATGGTACGCCCAAGGTATTGGTGGCGTCTCCCAGAGCATAAGGATCCTCCTTCTTCAAGGCCCTCAACCACCAAGGTCAAATCGATGCGCTCCCACTGCAGCGAAGAACTCCTCAGGCGCATGAGAGGTAAATGCTTCAGATGTCTCTCCCCTGGCCACGCCGCGACAGATTGCAGGGACCCGGTGCGTTGCATCAACTGTGGCCGCTGGGGGCATAAAAGCAGAGTGTGCAGAGGCAATGTTTCATCCTCCAAGTCCAAGCAGCAAACTCCCCATTCTCTGCCTTCCCCACCACCACTCGACTGCTGCAACTTCCCCCCGCTCGGAAGGGCCACAATGTCAAGGCCCGGGGACCCTGCTGATCGCCCCCAGGACACCGCTACGGTGGCCTTCTCCACCGACGAGATGGACCGCGAACTGAACCGCCTCTCCATGCATGGCATGGTGGCTTGGCTCGGGAAGGATCGCCTAGAGGTGGAGCCGGCAGTCATTAAGAAGGCCATATGCCATCGGTTTGTGATCCGACCAGAGGACGTCACTGTCATCAAGCACTTCCCTGAGGACTTCTTCGTCGACTTCACGCATCGCCACCAGCGAGATGAGGTGGCGTCTCAGGGAAGGTTCCCCTATGGCAACCTTGACATCCACACCAGGCCTTGGCAGCTACTCATGCACGGCGACATCTACAACCTCAAGTACCATGTTTGGCTGTGCCTGGAGGGCATCCCACTTCAGGCCTGGAACGAGAGCATAGCCAGAGGGCCATCGCAAGGGCCTGCGACATCAACTACGTCGAGAAGTCATCACTGGACCGCAAGGACACCAGGGCCCTCTGTCTCTGGGCGTGGATGCACAACCTGTCGGACATCCTGAAGGTAACCTGGCTCACCTTGTCATGCAGGAAAGCTGAGTTCCATGATGGCCCGCCTGCCCGTGGTCGTCGTGATCTCACCTTCAGGGTCCTGGTGCACCTTGACTTTGTGGAAGACCCACCAGGAAGCAACGGCCGCACTCCCCCATGTGACTACATGTGGCGATACGGTGTCGTCGACGACGGGAGGGTACCACGCGACCGCCTCGACCCACCGCCTACAGATGTCAGCAGCAGCCGCCGTGACGACGACGACGATGATCGCCGTGGGCACCATGAGCGCCGCAGTGACAACTAGAGCTCATGCCTCATCCGCAGCTTATTGCATGCTCCCATGGAGCGGGAGCGGGAGCGGGAGCGTGACCGTTCGGAGTCCAGGCATGGAAGCCGGCGGCATCGGAGCCCCGTTCGTGGGGCCGACGACACCAGCTGGAGCACTCCGGAGCGGCGGCGGGGCAAGGCAGCACGACGCGTCCTGGGCAGGCCCACCAGGCCACCGAGGAATGGCGCCCGCCCAGCTCCAGCGACCACGCCCGCCCAGCTCTTGACCCCCATGGGTTTCCCTCCCGTGGGCGAAGCAGGGAGAAGGCGCCCCGCAGGCAACGTAGGCAGGCGAGCTCGGTGACGTGCCCTAGGACGCCGCGCTCGGACCTACGTCCCAAGACGGCTGTAACAGAACCGACCAATTATACAAAATTAAGTAAGAAAATCATCAGCCAGAGCAGACGATTTAGCAAACTTAAGCCCGTATAACCCGGTAGTCCGTGAAATCACAAAGGATTTCAAACCAACTTCCATTCCAGCCAAGATCATAATAAGTTTAGCGGTCACCATCACATATTACATAAAAAGTTGCATCTCAGATACATCAGAGTTTAAACATAGTTATTACAAAACAAGTTCAATTAAAAGTAGCGGAAGCCATTTGTTCAAACCACACACACACTCACACGGAGTTCAAATACAGTGCCAGCGAATGATCATCTCCAACAAAAGCATCAGACGAGACATAAGGAATGACCATGCCCATGGTCCTAAGCATCACCCATCGCAGGATAAAGACAGTTGATACAGTAGCCGTAATACATCTGCCCATCTGCAACAAGTGGGAATAAAACCCTGAGTACTTGAAGGTACTCAGCTAGACTTACCCGACATAACCAAAAATAAGTGACACCAAGGATTATGAAGGGCTTTATAGTAGGGTAGCTGACTCATTTGCAAAAAGAAGCATTTTTAGCATTTCAAGACCCTTTTCAAAAGCATTATTGTCAAGTTAATTGTTATTAACCTGTCGACTAGATTTGCACCTATACTAGAGTAAACACGTGATTAAGCAGATAATGATAACCAATGATCATTAAACAACTTCCATACTGTCATATTCATTATAACTGTCCAAGTGTTCCATAAACACTTACTACGATGAAGTAACTCAAGTCAAGTGCTCACTGTCCAGGAGCGATGGCGATTCGAATCGATTCCTAACCAGCTGGTGATTTATTCCTTACACAAACCTCACTCACCCGCTAAAGTGAGATTGATCACCGAGTCAACTATCCAGGAATCTCGAGTTTGCCAGGAACCACATGTACTCGGGGGCCGACCGACTGCACTTTGGTCTTATCATCTCGCCCCCGTGTCCTACCACACCTGCTCCGGCACAGTGCATTGCGGACAATCTACTCGGCCCGAATAATCTCCCAGCTTCGCGGTCGGAAGGTACTTTATCCGGCCAGCTAAATGTAAGGCATGCGTTCAACATGACTCGAGGCCCAACAACGGTCGGTCCTTAATCGACACAGACGGAAAGCACTGTAGTCCAAAACTCTGCAAGTCTCCGTCCGGTCTCAACTTCATTTAACACTTAGTTATACTATGACTTCATAGTCATCCAAGCAGATCCAGGTAACCACCTATAGCTCGCAGGTGACAGGAAATCACCTGACTTCTACCGGTCTAAGCCAGCTAAGCATGGACTCAATTGCGGATACCAGGGTAACAAGGATATAGTATAACAAAGGTAAACAAGGTATAATGCAGCAACGGTTGCAAACAACTCCTGAACGTAATGCATCAATTAAAGTAAAGCATTGAATTAATAATTGCAAACCGGGAGAAAATGCTCCGGGGCTTGCCTCTCTCGAAGGAGCTCGGGCGGTGATCGACGCACTCCGGAAGTTCCTCAACGTCCTCCTCGTCGGCTTCGGGCACTTCCTGCGGCTGCACCTCGAGCTGCTCCTCGGGCTCCTCGGGTATGACGACTGGGTTCTCGGTTTGCGATCCTATATGATGCAATGTGCGTAAGCGCGTATGCAAACGGTGCATCGAATGAGATGAATACAACGGATATGTTTGAATGCAAGGTAGTCAACATCATCCAAGAACATATACTACAAGCACATGTCATCTACTGCATTCTCTTCTACTCCTAATATGCTAAATCAACACATCTTATTAATTGCTTCAAAGATACACCAAAGCTTTACTAATTTCTTAATCACACAAAAAGCAACACTTAATTAAACCCTAATTAATAATAGGTTTGAATAGCAACATCTATTTTTATTGCTCAGAAAAATCTTAGAAAATTACTACAGCATAGTACTACCCTAAGTAGTCTACTATCAGATTTTCATGATATTTGAATGAGTGGATTAGTCTACACAAAAATAACAAGCTATGGCATGATTATGAACATGAAAATACTTTGTACTGTGAAAAGTGTCAAACAACAGAGTTAGCATTTTTCCTATGATCTTCATAGCATACAATCACTGTACAAAAATTATCACATGCATGTTTTATACAAAGTTTGCTCTCTAGCTAAAATAACAAACATCAGCCATTAAAGGTACTTGAACTACACCTCAAAATTTTTCTACAGTACATGCATGACACATATTTTTTCTAGGAAGTACATTACATAAGAAGATTAACAAACTTGAAATCATATTTTTCTGAAGCCCATAGATTTTTCTACACATTTTTCAAGTTATCAGCAATATCCATGATTAAATAAAGTCCTACAGAAAAGTATCCCAAAAATGACATGCAATAATTTTCCCAAGTAGATCTGGTGATAAGGAACCTAGAAAAATTTATTTCAACAGATTTAGAGCAAATTTGAGTATCCAAACATATTCCAAACCATTTCTATTTTCAAATAATAAAGAAAAAAAAATTGAAAACGAATCCTCCTATTGCTACTGGGCCGGCCCGCGGGAATTAGTCGGCCCACGGCCTCATTGGCCCAGCTTCGGCCAAGGCGAAGCCACGCTGGCGCTGTGACACCGCGGCGGTGCGGCTCGGCCAACGAGACCGGCGGCCATTGCCGGCCGTGACAGGGCGAGCTAGCGGGCGCATGCGGTTCGCGAGAAGCTGGCGAAGGCGGGAAGGTAGCTAGGCAGGGTGGAGAAGAGCAGGAAGGGCGCCTTCCACGGTGGCCGAGCACGGCGGTGCCATGGCCGACGGTGGCGAGGCGCGAGAAGGCGCTACCTGAGCTCGATAGTCGGCACAAGCGAGAGCACCACGTGCCGGAGAGCGAGGCGGAACTGCGGGCGCACGATTGCTGGCTGAGGTGGAGGAGAAGCGGCGAATTTGGCCGGCGGGTGCGGTGGCGCGGCGAGGGGGAGAGTGGGTGAGCTTCGGCGCAAGCGGAGAGGAGAGGCGCAGCATGAGAGTGCAAGCGAGCGCAGATGGCTTCAGCAGGCGGCGGGCGTGGCGGGCGCGGCAGCTACCAGCCTTGACGCGGCGGCGACGGCGCAGCGCTTAGCACGCTGGCGGGCGTCTTTCGCCGCCGGCGGCAAGTCTGCAGCGAGCGAGCGAGCGTGCAGGGAACGGCGCGAGGTCGGGCAAGGCAAGACGCTGCAAGGATGGCGTGGCGTGGGCTGGCCTGCGTGGTGTGGTGGCGCTACTGGCTGGCAAGGCGATCTGGCAAAGGGGGGAGCTGGCCAGGCCGGCTTCGCCGTGGGCCGGAAGTTGAAAGCGGCGGCGGCCTGTTGGCGCGAAATGAAATTCGCTTTCTTTTTATTTCTCAAATAAACAGAATTAAATTCCCATTTTGAGCCATTTAAAACATTTTCATGAATTGGTGCAAAAATGAAATTTGTTCCATTTTTCAATATCTACAACTTTGATTTTATGACCAAAGCCAAATTCTTGATAGATTTTGAATTACAAAATCAAAGTCAATGTTTAACTCAAAACCCTAATTTTTGGGGAATTATTTTTGAAGCAAAATTTCGAATTGATTTGACTACAAACCTTGCTCCAAAAATTGAACTAAATAATCCTAGATGATTTACAATAGTAGCCAAACATGTTTTACTAGCCTAGCAAACATAATCAGGGCAAAAATAACTCTAACAAGTGCATGCAACATTCAGGTTTAACGAACATGTTTCGTATGTTTCGAAGCAGTGTTTCAGTTGTTATTTACATGATGCTTGATGATGCATGATATGCATGATTTGCAGTGCCTAAATGCTGGCATAACACCGGGGTGTTACAACGGCGCTCTTTGAGTCCCCGGGGCCACGCCCGCGCTGCAAGTCGCTGGACCTCGGAGGCGACACCGGCAGCAACCGCCATCCATCGCCAAATCCACCCAAGGTGCGTGCAAGTGACAGCCAGCTAGAAATTTCGTTAGGGTCCACGCCTCCACCTGCTGCCCCGTCGTTTCATGAACCGGGCTCCCAGTCTGTGCCTCAGGACAGCGCGGCGCCGACTTTGCCTTCACTTAACTCGCCTATCTTATGCTCTCCTATCTCGCAGGTCCTCCCTCATGACATCCCTGACCTCACACCACATCAGGGTGAGACACGGCAGCACTTCAGTTTGACCCCTGAGCGTCATTTCTGCCTAGGCCACGTCTACCGCAGGCGGCCACGTGATGGTCCCGTTCCCCACCCTGAAGCACAGCCGCGAAGGGGAGGACAGATCATGCGCTTCCGTCCGGGTCTCGTCTACTCCAAACGCAGAGCCCGGGGCCCAAGCACCTCCAGCTCGCGTCGGGACTGTGCCACTCCAAGCCATCCGTCGCCAGGCACGACACAGACCGCCAGGGAGCTAGATGTTACTACGTCTGCTTCAAGGCTGGCGGCGACGGAATTCGTCACGGGGATCTCTCACCCTCTGCCCCATCCTCTTTTGCAGGTTCCACAGCACCGTCCCAGACCACCACAGAGACACGGAAAGGTAGTGACTACAGTGCTCAGGAGCATGCGCATCGCTGCTAGGACCTAGCCTAGGGGAGACACACAAGCTAAAGCCCGCCAGGTTCTCATGAAGAAGCTC